CCTGACCCTGAGGATCTGGGGAGGTGACACTCGAGTTTTTCAGGGACAAAGGAGACAGGATGGCCAGCTAGCGGGCACTGCCCATGCAAAGGCTTGGAGGCTTGACATTTCGGGGCACCGTCACAGAAGTGCATGTTCTTTAGTGTGGCAGGAACAGATCCAAGATTAGGGTGGCAAGGCTGAGGCCGGTGAGGCGGCCAGAGGGAGAAGAGGACCCTGATAGCCATGTAGCTCGACTCCCGAGGGACAGGGTCAGATCTGAGGCTGCTGCCTGGAGATCAGATTGGAGAGAGCCCGGCTGAGGACTGGAGACAGCAGGGCAGCTGGAGCGGGGCCAGACAGGAGGTGACCAGCGCGGGGCCTGCACGGGGTGGTGGTGCTGCTGGGAGTGACCGGCGCCGGGAGGCTGCTGCAGGGACACCGCCCCCAGCTCCCTGGCCACGCTGAGTTCTCCCACCCAGATCTAGAGCCAAGGCCAGCCAGGCCTGGCTGGTGAGCATTGAATGAGAACCCATATTCAGGGCTTGAATCAGTGTCTGACCATATTAGATGCTCAACCAGCAGGCAGGATTGTAACAGGCAGTTAATGCTGGTTCTTGCCCGGAAACGGAACCCGTGAGTGTGGGAGCGTTATCCCCATGTAACATAAGGCAACGGTGCCTCGACCAAGAGCGCGCTGCAGGTGAGTGGTTGGATTGGGGTGTTAACCCAAGATTCCCCCACTCATCTGGCATGTCGGTGCTATAAACCCGGCTCAGATGAGCAACCACGAACCTGGAGTCGGAGGAGAGTCTGGTGTCTGTCCTGGGCTGGGCGGCTCAGACAGGGAGGTCCAGTGGGGGCTGGGGACCCATAGGAAGTCGCAGACGTGGGCCTTGCCCCCAAATACTTGAATCTTTTGGGGGAGGCACCACGCTACCGCCCACCTACCCCTGAAGCTGGTCAGACTCAGGCCTCAACGCCAGACCTATCCTTGGTCAGGCACCTGCCCCTGTAGGACTCAGGGGCCTCTCATCCCATTTGGTGCCCAAGGATTCTGGGAATGTCTGCTGGGGGCCGAGGGATGTTGGGGCAGTGGTGATGCTTAGAGGCTGCCTGCCCGTGAAAGTTCTCTTGTGGCCCCCTGCCTGCAGAGGGGAGCAGGGGTTTCCACGGGAGCACACAGCAGCCTCTGGGAAGAGAACGGCCCTCTGTGGAGGGAGTTGGGGGGTGAAGGGGAAGGGGGAACAGTGAGGCAGATGCAAATGATGGCTGGGGCTGCTTTCCCTGGGAAATGGCCATTTGCATAGACGCCGAGCCCCTGGGGCCTGGAGCCTGGGGCAGCCCGAGCTCCTGGGCACAGTTCCTTAACCGCCACCCCGACACGAGCTCAGGTGTGCATGCGCACACACTTGCACTGCTTACAACCTATGCAGTGTTGAAGCATCGCACCCATGCAAGTTGTCTTCATGTATCTGGGTCTTTTATGTCCTTTAATGGAGTTTTACATTTTTCTCCATGAAGATTTTAAGGGTCCTTTATTAGATTCATTCCTAACCAAAAACCTTATATTTCTGTGAAGACGTATTTGTTTTCTACTATATTTTATGGTTGCCTTGTAGGAACGCTGTTGATTTTTGTATATTGACCTCGTATCTGGCAGCCTTGAAATGCCTGGTAGTTCTTTTTTTTTGTTTTTGTTTATTTATTTTTTTCCCCCAGAGCCCCAGTAGATAGTCATATGTAGATAGCTATGTATGTCACAGCTGCACATCCTTCTAGTTGCTGTATGTGGGACGCGGCCTCAGCATGGCTGGAGAAGCGGTGCGTTGGTGCGCGCCCAGGATCCGAACCCGGGCCGCCAGCAGCGGAGCGCGCGCACTTCACCACCAAGCCATGGGGCCGGCCCATGCCTGGTAGTTCTAAGAGGCGATTCTCTTGGCTTTCTATGTCGATGTTGACAGCTGCTGAAATCTTCCCTCTCCTGTCTTTTATTGAAATGATCAGGTTTTTCCCTGCTGGCTTGAGTGTTATCCATCTCTTATTCATTCAGAAGCTTCCTCTGACTTGCTAAGACTTGTTTACATATTTCTCCATTTGAGTTTAACTCGAGTCAGTTGACATTGTCTTCCCTTTTGTGCTAGTCCGGGCACCCCCATCTCCCCCTGATGTTCTCCTTTCTCTGTTAAAACAAGCAAAATTGAGAAATTCAGACTCTGCTGCTGGAACGTGGTGTCAGTGCCGAAAGGGGCTGCACGGCTCCGGGTCAGGGCCCCGGGAACGGGGTTTGCCTCTTTCAACAAACCCCGATAAAAAGGCCAATGGGTGAAAGTCAACTCTGGCTGCAAAAGTGGCTTCAAACCACACTAGTTTCGTCATTTACTTTTTTCTAAAGTCTTGTTGAACAGCTTTGCGTCGCAGATGGATCTAGATTCACTGCATAGCTTTTAACTGCTCCCATCCCCTGGAACACATGCGTGACGGTGTGTGCACCCGGACGGTTCCTTTGCTGGGTATTTAGGTTGCTAACAGCATTTTAGGGCTCTGAGCAATGCCACCGTGACCCCCTGTGTACGTGTACCGGCCTTGTGGTTTGGGCGAGTCGCTGGGTCTCTGTCCTTTGTGCTTTTAACACTTTGCCTGCAGGTGCCCTCAGCAGGAGGCAGCACCCCCCTCGGGGGCCGGTGCCCACCCTCCCCTCCCCCTCCCCCCTCCAGGTCTGACCCGACAGCTCCTGTCAGCCCGCGGGGGAGGTGCTGTCCTGACAGGTGCAGGTGGCATGTGTCAGCCGCGGGCCCTCGGTGGCTGTTGTGGCTGTGTTTACACGGCCGTTCCTCTGGCCCTGGCTCTGCTGGAGCTGCTGTCCATGCCGGGCTTCCGTCTGGAACAGACGTAAAACTCGCTGTTTCTCTCTTAGGAAACTGAAACAGCCATCTCTCTCTGAGACAAATTCTGGGCATTTATTCTCTAGAACAATGCCGTCCTTATGTGGTTTCCTTTCTCAGAGGCCAGCGTGCCCCAGACCCTCACACACCTGTCTGCGCCCTCAATGATGTCACGGCGCATCCATCTCTCTGCATTGGTGAGGATAACTGGTCCAGACTTGCCCCAAGGCACCTGGAGGATGCAGAATTTACCTCTGTGTCCCCATGAGCCCCTGCCCTGTCCTCGCGTTGCCCACTGTCACCCTTTAATGCTGAAAGCAAGTGGTGAGCGCGCTTTTGTCTAGCCCGTGTGCATCCTGCCTGCAGTGGGTCCTCTTCACGGATGAACGTCGGTCCACCCTGGCCTGGGGAGAGGGGAGACTAGGGGCTCTGTCACTTCTTGGTTCAGTGCAGGAAAATGTGGGGAATTAGAATTTTTTTTTTTTTTGGTGAGGAATGTTAGCCCTGGGCTAACGTCTGTGCCCATCTTCCTCTACTTTATATGTGGGATGCCGCCACAGCATGGCTTGATAAGTGGTGTGTAAGGTCCACGCCCAGGAGCCAAACCTGTGAACCCTGGGCTACTGAAGTGGAGCGCTATGCCACTGGGCCGGCCCCGGAATTAGAAATTTTTAAAAACCCAGGACATCATGGTAAGAAAATAATGGGTTGAAGTGCAAAGGTCATAAGGGTCGGTGTCTGCTCCTCAGTTCCAGGCTCTGCTCAGAGTACTTGAAGGAGATTCCTTTCCTTCATCCTCAACAGCCAAGTGGGGGCTACTGACACCTGACAGATGAGGAGATTGCGGCATCACACAGCTGCTAAGCTGCAGAGCTGGGGTTCGAACTCAGGCCCTTTGGTTCCAGAGCCACGTTCTTCATCATTGTATTCTGGACCTCAGGCTGTTTGGTACAGTGTGGGGCGAATTATGGTGAACAAGGTCGTAGAATCCCACCCAGCTATCACAAGTGATGATGTAAACATTTATTGATGTGGAAATTCGCAATTGTAATCGTTAGGAAGACCTGGATGGTGATTTTAATAAATTGAGTCTTATTTTTCTTACACAGTTAGGCAGGTAGTGGCTTGTATTTTTTTCAGTTGTTTGACAATGCCAACAGAGAGCCAAGCTCTCCACCTCTCTGCTCTATATTCTTAGCATGTTGGTTATCCTTGTGCTAAACACCTCGGTGTCATAAAATGGCTGCTGCAGCTCCAGCCTTCACTCCTGTGTTGAAAGCAGCAAGAAGGGAGAAGAGCTGCCCAGGCTGTATCTGCTCCCTTTCAACCCCCACATCAGACTTCTGAGACTTCATTGACCAGGGCTGGGTTACATGCCCACCACTAGCTGCAAGGCATGCTGGGAAAGTGGGGAACAGGAGGGTCATGATTGGCATAGATGAACAAGGATTCGGGGCCACCCCAAAGAAAATTAGTTCTATTAGCAAGGAGCCCCAGGGGGAGTGGAGAGGTAAATAACAGCCTTACCAAGACAGTCAAGTGAAGAAAAGAAATTATAAAACACTGTGTAAGGAGTGATCCGATTTTTGAAAACGCGTGTGTGATGTGCACATGTGTTTAGGAAAAAAGACTGGAGGATTAGCAGTGGTCCCTCTGGGAATTGGGATTGTGGATGACTTTTCCTCATTTGGCTTATTTGCTTTTTCTGCTCAAGGGCGAAAGCAGACATCGAAAACAGGCGTCTTCTGCTAGGCAATACCAAGGAATTTGCTCTCTTGGTGGAGCCTGGCCTTAGTCCACTATTTTGACACCAGACACCTGGGCTTTTAGTTTGGCTACTGGCCTCTTAAGGGTCAGTATTAGAGCCTTTCTTATATTTATGCCCTAGGCAAGGGCCCTTCTGAATCATCTCTATATCTTGGACATAGAGATGTATGACAGAGAACAGAGAGGCACAGTGACTTGCCCAGAGGTGCACAGCCAGCATGGGGCAGGATTCATGCCTGGGGGACCTGGGATGGGGAGGCTGATAATGGCGTTGGCAGAGAAAGAGTGGGCCGGGGTAGAGGTGAGGTGACGAACGGGTAAAATTGCATAGTTCTGGGTATCTAGTCGCTCTGTGTCTCTTTCCCCCAGAGAAGAAATGTCTCAAGCAGGACCCTTCTCCAGGGACCTCTTTCTAGACACCTTCCTGCATGAGCATGGCCCGGAAGCGCTGGAGGTTCCTGGCATGACCGATCTCACGGGGTCCTCCCCTGACAGGTAGGTCCCAACAGCCCTCGAGGGCCCCACCACCCCCATTCCTGATCCGTGGCCTTTGCGAGGTGGTTAGGAGAGCAGGCCTTCTGGGTCCCCAGGCAGGGCTCTGGAGCAGAAGTTCCCCAGGTGTGGTCATGGGGTCAGGTGCCCTGGGCAGGGCAGCTCTGCTGTGACACCAGCTCACAGAGGGACCCCTCGGAGCATCCAGCGTATTCACAGTCCAAGATGGACCCTGGGCACTGGCCGTCAAAATGGCTCAAGCTTGTGGCCTTAGGACAGGGTGCCTCCTGGCCCTCGTGACCACGGTCACCTCATCAAGGCTTCTGTAGATGGATCCAATTTTAGAAAACCAGAAGTAGCCTGAGGAGGCCACTTGAGACGCAGCTCCTGGCCCTGGCTGTCAGGGCAGTGAGGAGGGGTCTCCCCGGGATCAGCTCCAGGGTTCTGGATGCTTCCCTCCTGCTTTAGGCCTCAGAATTGTTTTAGTCATTAGGTCTCGGACTTGGGGCTTGGGGTTGGTTGAGATTTTAGGGCTGGAGGGACCCCAAGATCTGCCTCCTCCCCCATCCCTGCTCCATTTGTAGGTGACAACAGGGGACGTTCATCGTGGGGCAGTGTTTTCCTGAGGTCCCACAGGTTATCAGGATAAAGATGGGACCCCAGCCCACCACCCTGATTGCCAGCCAGCCCTTCCCAGCCTCGCATCTTGCCCCTCAGTGCCCCTGGAGTAGAGAGAGCACAGGCCCTGGGGAGACTTGGCAGGTGGCCGGGGCCAGGCTGGGAGGGGCTCAAAGTCCTTGGCCCCTGGGAGGCCTGTCTGCCTGGGAATTTCCAGCCGAGCTGCCAAGTCACCGAGATGGAATGTGTGGGCAAACCCCTTGCCAGCAGGCAGGGCTGAAGCTGGCCCAGATGCCAGGAGGGGAGGGAGAGTGTTAGACTGAGGCTGGGGGGCAGTGTGTGAGCCTCCATGTCCACCCAGGATTCCATTCAGTGCAAGTGGGGGCCCCAGACCCAGGCCGGTTAGCCCCTCCTTTCTGAAAGGGGTGATGACAACAGAGGTGGTTTCAGGATCGGGGACCACCCTTGCCAGCAAGCCCACCAAGCCGCCCAGGTGGTGTGTGGCCTTTCCCAGGATTCTCCAGGACTATCAGTTACCCTTGGAGGGGGTGGGGCTGCAGAGGGAGGCTTGGAGGACGTGCTGTGCACACAGGCGCTAAATGTCTGCCTGCCCTCCACCCTGGTGGGGGCTCAGACCGAACACAGAAGGCCCCTGCTTCCCTCAAGAGGGGCTGGCACAGGCTCCACCTGGGCAGCCTCCTCCCTGGCATCTGGGGCCCGCCCTTCAGGGAGTCCACCTGGGGACAGGACCTCGCTGGCTTTTTCTGAAGCAGAGTGGGAGCCAGTGGAGGGGCGTGCAAAGGGTCCCTGCCCCTCGCCTCGCTCTTCACCGACTGTCGCCCCCACGAGCCTGTGGTCCGATTGGCTGGGTGCGTCTGGGTGTGTAGGGCCACACCCTCATTCCCTGTGCCCTTTCCGCAGTGACAACCCCGACTACGTGGCCATGCGGCTGGCCTTCATCGGGGACGAGATGGAAGTGAGATGGACGCTGCCCCACATCGCCGAGCTGCCCGGGGTGGCCATGTACAGGTGACCAGCCCTCGCCCAGCCCAGGGCTTCCACAGCACGGGCTGGCCCCAGGAGGCCCTGGGAGGAAACAGCTCGCCTCCCAGGCAGCCCTGAAACTTCACCTTAGCTCCCCCCCAGGAGTCCCCAGCTCCTGGAGCTGGCCTGCTGCCACCCCGTTCTTTCTGGCCTGGGCGATAGACACGGAGAACCCAAGCCCTTTTCTCTCCTTCGCTCAGCAAGCCAAGACAGTACCCTTCCAGAAGGGTCTTGACCTTAAATGACGGGAGATGCTGAGTAAGCCCAGAGGGAGCTGTGTGTCCTTGGCAGAGTCCCCTGCACAGAGGCCTCTCTCCTGATGACACGCAGCTTCCACGATCTGCCAGCATCCTTACAGGTTCTCAGAACCTCGCAGAATTGCTCAAGGTGGGGACATAGAAACCTCACTCTTCGAGGCCAGGACAAAGGTTGACGGGGTCTCTTGGTCCCCAGGGAGGCAGCCTTCCTTTGGGGAGCCTGGCCGCTGCTCTGGGGTGAGGACCTGCCTCTTTGGGCCTATGGGCAGTGGGGCGTTTTCCACACGGCCAGCTCTAGGACACAAGGGCACACCCCCAGTGGGCTGGCAGGCAGGTGGGGAAGGAAACAGGAAATCAGATGAATTTGGGACCAGAAATGGCCGTGGAGAGAGGCGCTTATGAGTGGAGCCACCCAGGGAAGGGGGATAGGGTGACGGTGGGTGGGAGGGGCCAGGCCCTCTTCTGGCATAGCTGTCACCTAAATAAAGGTCATCTCTGCCCCTCTTCCTGTAGTAATGGCCCTGTTCCCCCTCCCATTTGTCTTACAGCCTGGCTTTCACCTACAACCAGACAGGCCTGAGGGGCGTTCTTAGAAGTTTTGTGGATGGTCTCACTAACCTCAGGGAGAATATAAGGTTCTGGAGCTTACTGACCCGCAGGGACAGGGTAAGCCTGAGATTTCATGACATTGACTTCCCTTCCTGCTTGTGGTGACAGTCTGGAGCTGTGGAGCAACTGCTTCATAGGGCACAGCCTCTCTGGTTGCCGCAGTCCCCAACACTCCCTATTGTCTTCTTTTGCCTGCTTCACCCATTCCTACTTCTGCCTGGTCCCCAGGCCTTTGGGTTTGAGACTCCTGGCTTACTGAGATTGGATGCACAAATCCTTGAGTGCGTTTGCTTCCACACCTGTGCCACGCTTCTGCCTCTACCAGGAATGCCCTCACCTGGCGGACATGGATGGTTATCTGCCCAGGGCAGACGGCTCTTCTCCTGAGGAGCTTTGCTGAGCACTCCCGATCTTCTCCATCAGCGCAGCTGATGGTCCCTCACACCTCTCCGTCCTGTCATACCAGCTCCCAGCAGATGGGCCGGCCTCCCCTCCTCTGCGTGTCCCCAGGGCCACTTTGCTCTCCTGCCCCTCCTGCGCTCACCGTTCCGGGCACCTTGTCGCAGACGCCTCCAGTTCTGCATCCCCTTCCTCACCAGACTCCTCTTCGCTGCTCCCCTCGCCCACTTGTGGCTCCTCCCTGTGTCCATGGAGCAGCGGGCCCAGGAGGTGAGCTGTGGGACCAGCGAGCCTCTTCCAGGCTGGCGGTCCTCACTCCTCCCCGCCTTCCTCCCACAGGTGTCCCCCGGCCGGGGACGTGGGCTGGCGCTGCCCATGCTGCTGCTGCTGCTGCTGCTGCTGCTGCTGGGCTGGGGGCGCCACCTCCTCCAGTGACGCCGCTGCCGGCCAGTGCGGGGCGGGGCCGGTCCCCTCCCCTCGACCACCACCCTGGAGGTGGCCTTGTTGGTTTTGTTGTCTTTTTAACTGTTTTCTGATGATCCTTTTTTTATATTTAAACTCTGAGTGCTGGGACACTTACCGAGGTTTCATACTAGTTTTTTCTCGTTTTTTGTAAGAGAAATGAATTCATTGTACCTCTGGGGTGGTTACTGGTTAACTGCCCGGCCGAGGCCTGGCTGGGCCTGCTCTCCTGGCCCCAGCCCACCCTGCAGCGGCCTGTCCCAGGAGCTTCCTCTCTTGGTGGGTCGTGTGCAGGGCCAGGGGTAGTGCTGGTCACACCCCCGTGTTGGTGACGCCCATGGCAAAGAGGAAATCTGCTGGAATAGATTTCTGAGGGGTGGGGAGAGCTCAATAAAATGTTGGTTTCCAGCCCGTCTCTGGTCCTCTCTGGGGGTTTGCATCGTGGGCTCCATCTTGCCCCCTGGAGGGGGATCATGGCAGAGGGGGAGGGAAGGGGTGGGGCATGCTCCTAGCCACCGTGTGGCTGCATGTATCACACAGCCTCCAGGCCCCTCCCTGCACCTGCAAATGCTGTCATGCAGTTTGGCCCAACACAAGCCAGTTCACTCCCTCTCTGTCATGCCTTGGTGCCTAAAACTTACCATTAGGGATTATTTCCTTTGGGTTGTTAGTGCCTGTTATAATTGGGCTGCCTGCCCTCCCCATGTTTGCTTTCCCAGCACTGCCTGCTGGAGCAGTGCGGCCTGTGGGGCTACTCACTTAGGTGTGGTGGGGACAAGGAGCTAGGAAGGGACAGCAGGGGCAGGAGGGCCAGGCCTCCCACTGTGCCTGCCCCAGATCTAGGCCCAGTGCTATTTCTAGACCCTGCCAAGCCCTCCTCCCAGAACTTGTGCTCCGTGTCTCCCCTACCCCAGGCCCCTACCTCAAATACCAACCCTGGGCTGCAGTGAGCCACCTTCCTCCAGCTTCCCCGAGCCCTGCATCCTGCCCACTCCCAGTCACAGCCTCCAACCGTCCTGACCGAAGGGACCCCACACGCACACACCAGGCCTCCTTATGTCTCAGCTCCCCAGGTTTGGCCCTTCACAGCTGTGGGGCCTGACCGTCTGCAGGAGCGGGGCAGGGCCCATCCACCCCCGCCTCCGCTCCTGCGGTGGAGGCGGAACCCTGTTGCCCGCACCTTTGGGTTCCCTTCTACTGGGCAGCCCCTGCATTGGCGGCAGAGGTGTTGCCAGCTTTCCGAGGTCTTCCTTCAGGTGGCACTACCTGCCCTCTGCTTGCTGCTCCTTCCCCCTCCTCCCTCGGCTTGGAGCGTGATGGACGAGAGCGCCACCCCAGACCTCGAGGACAAGGGCCACGCCCAGAGGAGCAGTGAGGCCTGCCACCCGGGCCACCCTCCACTGCCGCTCCAGCGCCCTTAGTGGGCCCATGCTCCTCAGAGGCATGTAACTTGCACACCACCCTGCCTGCAGCGCAGCCAGAGAAGTAAAGCCTGGACCGAGGAGAGCCTGGTCCCCTAAGCCCGCCCGCTGCTCAAAGCAGTCAGTGAAGGGGGATCAAAACAGACTCAGCAGTTATTTAAAAATAATAACAGAGTTCTTTGTGAATGTCTGAAAACTCATAAAACCAAACTTAGAGAGTTCTTCATTGTGCTCCAAAGAACATTGAGACTCAGGCCATGGGGAAAATCGGGCTCTCACCCTGGGCTGTGGAAACGTGTGGGTGTGCTGGGGGTCACAATGCCTAGGAGTGCTACTGGCGTGTAGTGGCCAGGAGCCAGACAGCTGCCCACAGGCGCAGGATAGTCCCACACAACAACGCCCAGCTCTGCCCAAGGCCGGAGGGCCCCTGCTGAGCCACACCGTAGAATTAAAAATGAGAAACCCTACCCAGGACTGGATAGGTGTCTACACAGCAACATTCAAGGACAAACTCAGAGCTTGCCTTCCCAATAAGGTTTTCCCACTATCACTGAATAACGGAAAAACCACCCAAGAGGCTTAGAATTTCTCATATTTAATATTAACGCAAGGAGCTGCATTTACAGAGCCCGCGTGGGCCCCTGGTGAGGGGCAGGCAGAAGGGAAGCTCCACAGGGGCAGGCCTGGGCCAGACCAGGTCACAGGCACTCAGCAGTTGCTGTCTCAAGAGGTGACTTGGGGATGCGCGAGCAAGCAGGGCCCTCAGCCGCCCTCCTCACAGCCCTCCCACCTTTTTTTTTTTTTTAGGTTTTATTTATCTATTTATTTATTTATCTTTTTGCGAGGAAGATCAGCCCTGAGCTAACATCCATGCTAATCCTCCTCTCTTTGCTGAGGAAGACGGGCTCTGAGCTAACGTCTATTGCCAATCCTCCTCCTTTTATTTTTTTTCCCCAAAGTCCCAGTAGATAGCTGTATGTCATAGTTGCACATCCTTCTAGTTGCTATATGTGAGATGCGGCCTCAGCATGGCGGAAGAAGTGGTGCGTCGGTGCGCGCCCAGGATCCGAACCCGGGCTGCCAGTAGCGGAGTGCGTGCACTTAACCGCTAAGCCACAGGGCCGGCCCCACAGCCCTCCCATCTTGCTAAAGGACACTTCCCCACCAGGGCAGAGCTCACTCAGTCCCTGGCACACAGCACGCACTCAACACTGTCTGTTGGCTAAGTATACAAGTGTGGGGCTGGGTCTCCCAACAGCTGAGTGATGGGGGACCGAGTGGCTGCCAAGGCCACTTGGGTCCCAAGCCCTAAGATGGCGGTTCCCGTGGCCCCAGGCCGCCGGGGCAGCAGCGGAGACCAGTACGCCCACAGCACCCCAACAAAAGGGCGTGATGGCCAACAGGCCCAGCACCCCACGTCCTCGGAACACACAAGCCAGCTGGGTTGTTTCAGCCCACTTTACAGAAGAGACACCTGGGCCCGGGAGGTGACGTGCTGCGCCCACGAGGCACAGCAAGAACTCAGTCTCTTCACGTAACCGGCACTGCTGCATCTTTCTCCCCACAATTAAAACCTGTTTCACGGGGGAGAAATGGCTTGTGTCATGTGAAGAAATACTCATTTTTAGTGCTTTTTATGTGGCATTCAAAGCACTTTGCAGACAGTCCCTCCCAATCACTCGGAGGAGGAAGCCCAACAGGGAGGCAGGGCAGGCCCGCGCACAGCCTCCTCTCAGAGCCGCCCCACCCCGTGGTCACCGGGAGACTCCCCCTACGGGTCCTCCTCCAGGTCCTCGTCAGCCCCCAGCACCTCCACGTGGCTGTAGGACCTCCAGGCCTGCAGGTTACAGTTCTTCAGGATGGTTCCCAGCTGCCTCCCGGGTCCCACTTCAAAAGTCCTGGGGAACTCAGTGCCTTTCCCCCGCTCGTACATGGCGTGCATCGTCTGCTCCCACTTCACCGGGGAGACCACCTGCTGGATGAGCAGCTTCCGGATGTGTTTCGGATGCATGTATCTGTTCCCGTCGACATTTGAGTGCACGGCAACCAGCGGCTTCTTGACGTCGATTGCCTTTAGAACTTGCGCCAGGGGCTCCAAGGCTGGCTCCATGAGGCGGGTATGGAACCCTCCACTAACCGGCAACATCTTGGTGCGTCTGAAGTGATACTTAGAGGAATTCTTCTGGAGAAACTGCAGTGCCTGGAAGAAAAAGCAAGGAGGTTTAAGCCAAGCAAATCTTAGAGGAAGAAACACTGAGAGGCCGTCGCCATCGGCATCATCACAGTCCTGTGTACAGAAGGTGCTTCTCTCTCCACATCCGCACACGTCTCTCAGCCTGCACACGACCCAGAGTGCCAGCCTCAATCCAGCTCTCTGTCCCCGTTACTGTCAGTCATACATTCAGTGTCCAGAAGTCCTCCGGGGATCCTACCGTTGGCACGCCCCACCGGGGCGGGGCAGGTGACCAGTGTGGCTGAGAGCTGAGGCGGGGAAACATGTCCTGTCCCGGCACCCATCATTCTCTAGCTCAGTGGCCCCAGGCAAATCAGTCAACCTCTGAATTTTTTTTATCCATAAAATGAGCACAATTTCATCTACTTCGCAAGGGCACTGGGACGTGATCAGGTAGGAGGCATGAAAGTGTCTGATAAACGAAAAGCACTAATAAGTGTTCATTTCTTGACTATAATTCTGCTACCCTTCATAGTTTTTAATAAGCCTGTTTTCTTATTACTCCATAATTTTCAAGATAAAAATTCAGAAGGAGACTCCAAGCCTCATTTCACAATGCGAGTTCTTTCCCATCAGAACCCCTCATCTGGGGTTTCTCTAGAGAAGAAAAGAGCTCTCTCTCCCTGAAACCAAAGCCTTCCCCTGAGGGGCGCCTCAGCTCAGAAGGGGCCTTTGGGGCTAATGGGCCCAAATTTGGAACTGTTTGCAAACATAATTTGCAAATATCTTTAAAATGGTATATTCTTAAGAGAACCTGTGCCCTCAGGGCACAGCCCAGGGCCTGCCACCCTGATGGCCCTCCATTGGGATCTGAAGGGCTTCCTGTGCACTAAACCATTTTCCATGTCCCCCCAGCCTGACACCATCCACGGCCTGTGGAGAGGCCAGGCCAGCTGCTCCCTGAAGATGTAAGGTAAGCCTTAAAATGGTCACAGCAGCTGCATGGCCTCGGGCAATTTTACTTTACCTCTCTGTGCCTCAGTTTCCTCGTCTATAGAATGGGGAAGAACAATAGTTATCTCACGGGGGCATGGAACAAACTCCACTTAGACACGAGTGCTATAAAAGGGTTAGCAATTGTTATCATCTTGTAAACCAAGCCCGTCCATGTCTACTGGAAAAAAATATAACAGGGTAGCTCTTTGTGCCCCCAAGAGGGTAGGAGGGATTAGTACTTTTGGTTGGATGGCGCTCATCCGTCTGTCCTGCCTGCCCAGGCACCGCCAGTGCAGCCTGAGGCCCATCCTGTCCCACCCACCTCTGCCGGGGGTCTGTCTGCTCCACACAGAGGCCGCTCCAGCAGCCTGAGCCTCAGGGCGAAAGGGAAGTGGAGCGGAGCCCAGCACAGCGCACCGCGCCACGTGAGCCACGCCCGCGGGAACTGCTGAGAGGTCTGGGCTGTCTGTCAGTGCAGCAGAGTCTAGCCTGTCCAAACTGACCTGGAGCTTCACGTCCATTACCACCCTCAGTCCATGCCCATTGCACTGAGGGATACACCCCAGGAGCCTCTCTGAACACAGGCCTCTTAGACTCAAGCCCTCCCACCACGCCTGGACCACTCTGATCACGGGCAGCTGTGTGGATGGCTACTCAGCAGCACTTTGGTGTCATTTCAGCTGTCTCCAAGTGCTTTCCATCTGAGGTCTCTGGACTCACCCAACTCAAGACCACAGGAGTCAAGGGCCCAGCCTCGGGGTCCAGAGGCTCCTCTGGGGCTGCCCTTCAGCCCAGGCATTGGTCTAGCAGAGGCCCAGTTTTCTTCACATCAGTTGTTGGATTTGGGCTCCCCTGCTCAGGAGGACCCGTCCTCCGCTCAGCTCTTTGCGGTGGCACTTCCAACAGCACCAAAAGGCCTAACCTGGGAATCCCAGGAGTTGTCATCCAGACCGGATGCCCACCTGTCTGGGAGCCTGTGAGGGAGATTCCTGCCCTGGCTGGGAGGCCCTGCCTGACTCACTTCTGGGCTACTTTCCAAGGCTGTTAATGGGAATGAGCAGCCAGCTCCATGATTCACTTGGGGCCACTGTACCTGATCCTCCCATCATCCCAGAACAGTCACAAGAGGGACCACTCACTGATTCAGAGGAGACACACAAGGCCACCCAGCACACCGGCAAGGCCTTGCAGGGGAAGATGAACTGAGCAGTCCGGGGGAGGCAACACAGATGCCAGAGGGAGAGAGACGAGTTCCCATTGTGCCTCCGCCATCTCTAAGCGGCCCTCTCCCTCTGCCTCAGCTGCCTCCTGTGTAAGATGTGACTGAGACTCCCTTCCGCAGAGCGCAGGACTGGCTCTGGGGACCAGAGCAGATGGGTAAGCACCGGCCCCGTGCCCACAGCCCCCACGCGGGTTCCCGTCTGCACTCCCCCGGCACCCCCCGAGCCAGGCCCTCAGTACAGAACTGCCCTTTCCATCAGGCGCCGCTGCTTCTCTGCTTGGGATGCCCTCCTCTTGGCAAACTCATCCTGCAGGCACCGCCTCCCGGTGCCACCTCCTCAGGCCCCTGGTCGTCAGCCTGACCCTGAAACCAGAGTCATCTGTTCACAGCTGGCCTTCCTCGGATGGCAGGAACTTTGGCTTATCAGTCTGTGTGTCCTTAGCGCTTGTTACATAGGAGCTGCCCGAGAAATCGTGTCTGGGCAAGAGTGAAGGGAAGGAAGAACAGAGGAAAGGAAATCAACTCGGTGCCCAAACAGACACCAAAGAAAGAGCAGGGCAGAGCAACCCTGTAGGAAACAGCTTCTCCTCTCTCTAAGGGAGCATCCGGGTCAGCGGCTGTGAGAAGCCCAGAATACACTACAAGAAGGCCCAGGAGACCATGTGGTCCAGCCCCTTCACATTCCTCGTGGGCTGGGCGATTCGCCCAAGGTCCTCGTCTGTATGAGGTGGAGTGGGGACCGTATCCCAGCCTCCTGCCTCCCTCTGCAGTGCTTGCTCATCACACATTCCCCAGCCCTCAAATACTTCCCAAAGACCTCGGCTCAGCAGAGAGCCCAGTACACTACTGGGGGCTCAAAGGCACGCAACAATTCCAACCTTCTCTACTGGACGGGGGTCTGTGAAGGCTGCTCCCGCCAGCACCAACCTCCAGGTGTCCGGAAATCACCCTGCAGCCAGGAAAGAGGTAGTTGGACACCTCGCACACGGGGTTCTCTATGCCCAAAGTCTTGCAGTGCTCCCGGGCTTCCAAACAGGCGAAGGTGAACTTGGTCTGAGGCTGACCGAGGACAGACAACATCCCACTGGGGATGGCTTCCGAGGCTTCCTGCATGGCCTCAGCACGGATTTTCACTGCATACAGACCTGTCCAGAGAGAAGCGCATTTGGGAAAATCAGGGCACGTAATGGAGGGAAGCCCAGACCTGACAGACAAAGCATGAGTGCCACACTGCGTGCTAGAGACCCTGACACTGGGATTATCACAGTCCATGGGCCACAGCTGCACGTATCTGTGTTGACTACATAGACAAAGGTGGTACCACTGTCATCAAAAGCAGGGTGCTGTCCTTGGCACAATACAAACTAACCACAGAGCTTCCTGCCTTACAGCCGGCCCAGTATAGGACTCTGGTTCTCAACCAGGGGTCATTTTGCCCCCAGGGCAGTGTCTGGACACATTTTTTGATTGTTACAATGGGGAAGGGGGTCTGCGCTACTGGCATCTGGTGGGTAGAAGCCAGGGATGCTGCTCAACATCCTACAGTGCACAGCCCCCCAAAAACAATGAATTATCTGGTCCAAAATGTCCACAATGCCGCTTCTGAGAAATCCTGGTGTAGGGTGAAAAGGAACAGACTTTGAGCTGCACTGCTTTGGGCAAGTCATGACCTCCTTCCAGGTCAAAGTTTTAGATAGTAAAATGAGGATAATTTCTAATCTGCCTGGATTGTTGCAAAAAGTGGGTTTTATTATTAGTTTATTATTTAAGAGAAATCGTGTTGGAGAGGAAAAACAATTAAGAGCCATCAGATACCTGGAATGATGTACAAATTCACAAACTGGTACCTGAATTTCGGTAACACATAATTATCATAAATCAAGCACCACTGCCCTCAATTAGAGCTGGAGAACCTGACACTGCCAAGGCAGACCAACTAAAGCGCGGGCTCCTGTGTCCGTGTGGCTCAGGTGCAAGGTGAGAGGACAGGGCTGTGCCCAGGCAGGCAGCTCCAATGATCGTGACGTAAGAATGGCCTGTAACTACTGGACACCCATCATCCTGGTCCTGGGTCTGCTCCCTGGGGGGAGGGAGATGACCAGACCAAGGAGAGGTTAAGGGACCAGTCCAGGGTTTGATGGGACAACAGAGAGGGTCTGAGGAGCAAATCCTGCACCCTGTCTCTCTAACACATCTCCATTCACTCGGCACTCACATACATTTGTACTGGACGCTTAGCCTCCTTACACAAGTGGAACTGTGGAGCAAATACATTAAGAGCCTGTGGTAGGAAGTAAGAGAACACATAGGAACGTGGAGAAAGCAAGTGGAAATCCTCCCATGCAGGCATTAAATAACTATGCAAAATGCCAAGTGAGAAAAGTGAACATAGAACTAGCCCTGGTGGTCTAGTGGTTAAGATTTGCCGCTCACCCCTGTGGTCTGGGTTCGTTTCCTGGTCGTGGAACCATACCACCAGTCTGTCAGTTGTCATATTGTGGTGGTGGCTCACATAGAGAACTAAAAAAACCTAACAACTAGAATACACAACCATGCACTGAAGCTTAGAAAAAAACAAAACTGAAGAAAGAATGTATATATGCTATAATTCTATAAATTATGTACACATAAAACTATGTATAAAATAGTTTTATTAGGATGTGGAAATATGAAACTTTTTTTCATTTCCTTAATAGTGCTATTATGTTTTAAAAAACATTGAGGTGAAATATAAATATAAAAATACATAAAATATAACCAGTTTCAAGTGTATAATTCAGTGGTATCTGTTGTACTCATAAGTTGTGCAACCACTAGCTCTGTCTAGTTTCCAAACTTTCCATCACCCCATACAACACCCTGTACCCTCTAAGTAATCACTCCTCATTTCTCCCTCCCTCCACCCCTGGTAACCTTTAATCTGTTGTCTCCATGGATTTGTGTATTCTGGACATTTCATATAAAAGAGATTACACACCACGTGACCTTTTGTGTCTGGCTCCTTTCCTTAGCATGTTTTTGAGGTTCATCCACATTGTAGCATGTATCAGTACTTTGCTTCTTTTTATGGCTGAATAATATTCCACTGTATGGATATACCACCATTTGTTTATCCATTCATCTCATGATGGATATGTGGATTGTTGCCACCTTTGGGTATTATGAATAATGCTGTTATAAACATTTATGTACGGGGCCGGCCCTGTGGCTTGGTGGTTAAGTGCGCGCGCTGCGATGCTGGTGGCCCGGGTTCGGATCCCGGGTGCGCATCAAGGCACCGCTTCTCCGTTCATCCTGAGGCCGAGTCCCACATACAGCAACTAGAAGGATGTGCAGCTACGACATACAACTATCCACTGGGGCTTTGGGGGGAAAAAATAAAATAAATAAAATCTTTAAACATTTATGTACAAGTTTTCTGTGTGGACATATGTTTTCATTTCTTAGGTATATACCTACAGGTAGAACTATTGGGTCATATGGTAATTTATGTTTAAATTTTTGAGGAACCACCAAACTGTTTTTCACAATGGCTACACCATTTTACAGTCTCACCAGCAATGTGTGAGGTTCCTATTTATCCACATCCTCACCAACACTTATTATTTTCTGTTTTTTGCTCTGTTTTTTTAAATTAAAGCCATCCTAGTGAGTATGAAGTGGTATTTCACTGTGGGTTTTTTTTTTTTTAAACATTTTATTTATTTATTTTTTCCCCCCAAAGCCCCAGTAGATAATTGTATGTCATAGCTGCACATCGTTCTAGTTGCTGTATGTGGGATGCGGCCTCAGCATGGCTGGAGAAGCGGTGCGTCGGTGCGCGCCTGGGACCCGAACCCGGGCCACCAGCAGCGGAGCACGCGCACTTAACCGCTAAGCCATGGGGCCGGCTCACTCACTGTGGTTTTGATTTGCATTTCCCTAATGGTCAGTGATGTGGCATAACTTTTCATGTATTTATTGTCCATTTGTATATGTTCTTTACAGAAATGTCTATTCAGGTCCTTTGCCCATATTAAACTATAAGCAAAAATGTTTTAACTGTTTTAACTATACACAAAAAGCTTAAGAAGTGAAACTGATATGGCTCAAGATCAAATTCATTTACTCTTTTTCATTTAATGATTATCTGCTGAGCTTCTACCATGTGACAGGCACTGGAAGGGTGTGAACAGACTAAGAACGCACGGGACAGTGGGAGAGACAGCCAAGCAAGCAGATTTCATGAGATTACAAAAAGAAAGGAAATCCCAGATGACCCTTCAGGCTTAAAAGGGAATCAAGGTGAAGTCTGGCCCTTGGGTTCCAGTGTCATCCCCATTCATGTGCTCCCTTCTCCAGAACCATTTTTGGCAATGTCCCTTGTCCCCAGTGAGCCCAGCAAGACAACACCCCTGCACAAAACCAAACCCCTTTCTGTGTACCTTCAGAAAATTCCATGGCTCCAGCAAACACCAGGGCTGCAAATTCTCCCACACTGAATCCAGCAGCAGCAACACAGTTCTCAATCACCTGCAGTGACAGATGCAGAACGTGAGGCCAAGATCTCAGGGGAGCTCAGTCAGGGGCTCTGCACTTGAGAGCTGGCAAGGGGTTCAGCGGCTCAGTGAGCCAGGCTCCACCGGCCCAGGGCTCCAGCTGGAAGACCACACAGGGAAGAGGCCTTGGCATCACTGATCCAGCCCCTTTACCGATGAGGGACCTCCCCGGCAAGGCCAGTTAAAGCCCGCTGGCTGACTCGTGGTGGAGCTGGGACTCCAACCCAGGGCTCTGGATTCTATGGTCTCTGCCCTGGGGCCACCTCTCAGGCCCCATGGTGCCAGAGGAAGCTAAGCATAGAAGTTAAGAGTGTGACTTTCAGAGTCACAGAGAGTGGGACTGATTCCTAACTTGAGAGAGTTCCCTAACCAATCTGAGCCTCAGCTGTCCCATCTGTGAAATGGGGGAAAGAGCAGGACCTACCTCACCGGGCTGCTGAAAAAATTACATGAAGATAATGTCTCTAACGTGCTTAGCACAGACCTGGCCCAGGGTAAGCACTCAATGTTATTCATGACTCAACAGGCCCACAGAACCAACCCTTTAACATCACTGAGTCTCCTTTCCCCATCCACAAAATAACAGGACCGACCTCACAAGGTTGTTATAGGGTGAAATGGCATAAAGGATTTAAAGTACTAGTTTAACGTTTACTCTTTTCATTTAAGGATGACGTTTAATCCCTCTAAAATCATTTCGTAATTAGATGATTAAGGATCATTTAAAATCGCAGCCCAGCCCCGGACTCCCCAGCCTCTTTCTCTGCTCTATTTTCCTGTCCCTTTTCATCTTTAACATGCTTTGTAATTCACATCGTATATTTGTTTATTATCTGTCTCCTTCTCCTAAGACGCAATCTCCCCGAGGAAGGGGATCCTCGTGTTGCGCACGCCCGTATCCCCAGGGCCTGGCAGAGTGGGAACTCGGGGAGAGTCTGCCGCGGGGAGCCGTGGGAGCACGCCGGCCTGGCGGCGAGAGCGCGGGCAGGGCCCGTGTGCCCGGGCCCCGGGCCTCACCGCGGGCTGCAGGTGGTGCAGCTTCTCGACGGCGGCCAGCGAGGCCACGAAGACGGCGGGCTGGCAGTGCGCGGTGCGGTCCAGGGCCTCCTGCGGCCCGCGCAGGCTCAGCTCCAGCAGGTCGTAGCCCAGCACGCGGCGCGCGGCGGCGTAGAGCTCGCGCACGCGCGGGTAGCGCAGCAGCCCGCGGCCCATGCCCACCGTCTGGCTGCCCTGGCCCGGGAAGAGCAGCACCGAGCAC